TATAAACTTAAATTTTTTTTATTTTTTTTCTAAGCTCTGAAACGTTAAATAAGGAACAAAAAGGTAACTTCTTTAAACTATGGATCATAAATCCTGAAAAACAAACATAAGAACACTACAAATCACTTCAACATCTGAAAGGCTTAAACAAATCTAGAGCATTTAACAACAGTTTGAGTTGCCCTTTAGCCTCCAGCAATGGCAAAGCAAATTAGATATGAGAATCTCTTTATCCCCTCACACTTTTTACAAATAGGATTCTAAACTCTAACCGCACAGATCTGGAAATCACACACAAGGCTCTCAGGACTCCTCTGGCAGGACTGACACCTGCTGGCTGGCCTCCACCGGAAGTGCCGCCTAGCTCCCAAAGAACCTGGACATCAGAGGAAACGACTGACACTAGCTTTGGACATAATAGAAAGGCATTTCTAAGCATCGTTGCTTGGTATTCTGCCTGTGCCGGGAAGCAGGGGAGCTCAGAAAATGAAATATTTAAACAATTAACACATGGCTTCAGTCGGGATGAGAAAATTATTTATTTATTTAAGGGCATCTCCCCCCTCCCCACATCCAAGGCAAAGAGTGGTATTTTGGCCATTACTTTTTTGACATGTCAAGTAAAAAAAAAAACAAATACTGCAAATATCAGACATCAGCACTTGACTACTGCTTTAAAAACTGATGAAAAACTATTTACTTAATTTTATAACTTGTTATATTAATTCCTATTGAATACAATCGTTTATGTCATGTCCGACTTCAGGTTTAGGTATTCAAAATAAGATCAACTACTTAGCTTACGTATTTAACTCTTAAACACATGCATGTCATAAAATCTTCTTAGTTTGAACATCCATCCATTTTCCATAACCACTTGTCCTATTCAGGGTCTTGGGGGGTCCAGAGCCTACAGGTGCAAGGCAGGGAACAACCCAGAATAGGGCACCAACCATTACAGAGCAATTTACACACTATTCACACCTACAGCTATTCTTATAATTGCAATTAACCTCAGCATGTTTTTGGACTGTGGGGAGAAAACTCCACAATGACACAGGGGGAACATGTAAATCCACCTCAAAGCCATGGTGGAGACTTGATCCCTAGTCCCAGACAACAATGCTAACCACTATGCCACCATGCCAAGACTCAGTTCTGACAATGGCAACCTATATTTATACAAATACATATACCTGCACCTTATTCTAACACAGAATAAAGGGCTTCCTGTCAAATAAACCTACCTAATAAAAAATAACCCAAAACATTCTATAAGGACTTTAAGAACACTGATTATAATCAGGTGTCAGGGTTTAGAATACAGTACTGTAAATGTAATGTTTCAGCTTTATGACACCAGCTTCAGCTGCAGCTTATCTCAGAGTACACCATACACAGATGATTACCCCCCACAACTACCAAGTTATTCAGTTCACCTAACAGGGTTGTTTTATTTTATATTTCTCAGAGGATTCATAAGCTTCACACTATTGAAAATGCTACAACACCTGCCTAGCTCTCTTAATAGCTGCTAAACCTTTTTCTTTTCAAAAGAAGTTTTCCAAGGTACAAGAGCATAAAAGAGGAGCATAAAACAGATAACATCAAACAAAGCCCCTTCTTGAGCCTTCTATACACCACACAAGATTACCAAACGTCATAAGACAGTTATATCAGTCTGTATACCTTTTCAATGACTAAAAGTCCTGCTGAGGGGCCTGGCCCTGTCAGCCTACAATTCCCAAATTTTGATTATGGTATTCTTGTTATGTCTCTCTACAACAAAGGTGAATATTTCCATGTTTTGCAGCCATGTAAAAGCCCCAAGGTCAAACAATATTTGGTCAAAAAAAAAATTGCAAGAAGTCTTAAATTTGATAAAGACTTACTCTCCTTATTGATGTCAAGTGGATTGCTTTATTGAGCTTCATTGCACAACTACATGGACTACACATACCATTTTACCTTCTATCAGAAAGACAGAAAGTTGAACATTTTGAAGGCTTCTTTTACCTGGAGTGATTTTTTTTAAAGCCTGAACTGTATCCTTGTGAGTGTTGCGCCTGAAAATACCCACTCATTGAGAAGACAGATACAGTGGTACCCCAGAACTTGAATTTAATCCGTTCAAAACTCTGGATCGAATCCTAAAAAGTTCAAGTTGTGATGAAATTTTCCCCATAAGAAATAATGGAAAACCAATTAATTGATTCCCGGCCCCAAAAAATTACATCTAAATATGTTTTTTTTTTTAAATCATTTAAACACAAAATGAACCAGATAAAACAAGAAGAGCATATACTGTACTAAACACATCTAAGCACATTTATCAGAACAGTAATTTATAAAGTAAGAAAATAAATGTATCCAAACAATATGTAAAGTTAAAAAGACAATGTGTCCACGCCCCCTCGTTAACCCCGTGTGGAATCCCCGTGTGATCAACTCTTACTGGTTGTTGTCATTAGTCCTCTGTATTTCGTCCGTGTTTCAGTTTGTTTCCCCAGCCCGGTCATTGTATTGTCCGTCTGCGTTTTGCCTGCCTTACCTGTAATTAAACCCTGTATTCCTCGATGCCCTGACGTCTGTGTCTTTGACTCAGATTTGTCCCCGCTCGGCACGACAATATTATTATAATTAAATGTATGAATGGTTTATTATTAATATTAAAATAATTAATAAGAAATCTTTATTTTTAAATGTATTTTATTATATAATAATTACTGTTACTGTCAATCATTGTCTAAATGTATTTTTACTGTCTAAATACAGTGGTACCTCGGTTCTCGAACTCACTAGAACTCGAATTTCTTGAAAGTCGAACAAACCAGTTTGACCTAGAACTCGATCTGAATATCAGAAGTCGAACCGTGAACGCTGACCCAATATAAATTGTACGCGCCAGGAAATGAGTCACACAGCACGTCTCTGAGCGGAAACAAAAGGTAACGCTTTGGTGTCAGCCTCGCATTTGCTGTAGTAGCAGCACTTGTTGGTAATAATGCTATTTTTTTGAAAATACTGTTTCAGGTAATATACTGTACTTTATATCATTTTGTTAGCCATTGCTCACCAAAAAGTTACATAATAGTTGTACAAATGTTACAACCTAAAAGTTTGCTATTCACGAACAAATTAACGAATACAGAGTAATAATAAAAATAAACAATGGACCGCATGGCATAGTCTAGCCTTGGCGTAGAGTTGGGGCATGGCTTGGGGTTGTCACGATCTCCCAAGCCGAGACTGGGGAAGCAGAGACAGGACTCAAGCCATCGGGAAACACAGGGTTTAATTGAGAATAGGCAGAACAACACAATGACGTTACAATGACCGGAGTGGGGAAACAAACTGAAACGCGGATTTACTGTAATACAGAGGACTAATGACAACAACCAGAAACAGCTGATCACATGGGGATCCCACACGAGGTTAACAAGGGGGCGTGGCACAGGGAAGGAGCGGACGATCGGGGCAGGACAGGGGTAATGTTGGGATAAGATCTTTATCGTTTTGGAAGCCATTAAGAAAAAAATGCTCTTCTTGTTCATTTTGCGTTTAAATGCTTAAAAAAAAACATATTTAGGTGTAATTTTGGGGGGGCGGGAACCAATTAATTGGTTTTCCATTATTTCTTATGGGAAAAATTCGATCAGAACTTGAACTTTTTAGGATTCGATCTGGAGTCTGGAATGGATTAAGTTCGAGAACCAAGGTACCACTGTATATGTATTCAGCTAGTGTAAACATGCATGATGCTATCACAGCGAATGAGAGGCTGAGACTGAAGCATTACCCTATGTTTCTGCTGAGAGACATGCCACGTGACTAATTTCCCCGCGTGTACAAGTTATCTTAGGTCGGCGTTCACGGTTTGACTTCTGAGATTCAGATGGAGTTCTAGGTAATTTTTTTTTTCGAACTGGTTGGTTCGAATTTTAAGAAAGTCGAGATCTAATGAGTTCAAGAACTGAGGTACCACTGTACATACATAGATAGGTTAAAGTAATGTACCAAGCCCAGATTGACTTCTCCAGTTTATTCAAAGCCATCTCCTGGACACGAACGATCAAACATGTCCACAAATATATCTAAGGACGTTCTTGGAGGCATGCAAAGACAGAGTAATGGTACTGGATGTACAGATCAATATTGAAATATTGATTCTTTCAGTATAAATGTTTCATTTTGAGAATGGATTCTAATGTTAAAATAATGATTTCCAAAAAATTTTTTATAAATAAATGTTCATATTATTATAGAAAGCAGGACATGAACTCCGGCCAGGACCTAAATGTCAGCCTTAAGACAGGAAGTACAGACGCTCCGCAGGTTACGACTGTCCGTGTTACAATATTTTGACTTTACGAGGAGTAAATGTTTTTTCACTTTACAGTAAGTACATCAATCAGATATTCAACACTTCTTTTATAAATTAGTTTCTGATAAGTTAGTTTGCCTAACTGTAGGCTAATGCAAGTGTTTTAAGCATGTTTAAGGTAGGCTAGGCCAGGCTATGACGTTTATTAGCTAGGTTAGGTGTATTGTATTAAAACGCACTTTCTCCTTAACATTTTTTCGCGTTACGGTAAGTTTGGCGGAACATAACCCCATCGTAACCCAGGGAAATGCTGTACTCTCCTTCTGCTCACTCTTTCCGCTTCACACGGAGACCTCCGGCTCCACACAAAACCGGTTACGGTATAAAATACACCGATGCACCAATATTCAAATTATTTAGATTTCCGATTTAATTACCTCAAAAACGCGTAAGAATATTGGTATCGGGATAACAGTCGGTAGGCCTATTACTTGGTATCAGATCGACATCAGTGGTATCGCCCCTAAAAGCTACAATGACGGTTAGTTCCACTGAACTCCAATGAAGTCAATGTAGCGCAGTGAAGCTATCAGGAAACGTGTCATTTAATGCTATAATTCATCCGTGGCAATGTTAAAGCAGTCCTGACTACGATTAAGCTACAATACTCACTTACCATAAATAGCGATTCTTCATTTATTTCACTTGTCAACACCATTCTACCATCATCCTTGCCTGATCGATTTTTCGTAGGGCACTTTTAAAAGCATTTTATTTAAACTTAACACTTTCTTGAATTTCAGCCTGGTTTTTAACCGACTTCAGAAGCAGCGTCAGGTTTTTATTTAACTTGTCCTTGAGCTACTTTTTATATGAGCATCGTTTAGAGGGCCTTCTACTTAGTAACACTCGCTACTGACTTGAGCCCGTAAATATGGAAATTACTAAACAATTCAACGAAATTAAACATGATGATTGGATGCTGACGAGCAGATGGATTTTAAATATGTAAAAATGTATATACATAACAACGAAACCGCATCTACTGCTGAAACGCGTAACCCCTTAGTAGCACGCGGCATCCTACGCCGCATATATCGCTACGGCTGAAGGCGGCTAGACAGGAGTCGCGCGCCCGAAGAGATCACGTGGCGATGCATGTACGTGCCCCACGTAGCTAGTAATTTGGTATAGGGAAACTGCCGAACAATATGAAACGTTGTGTGCGTGCGTGTGTGCGCGGGGAGGAATCGTTAACCATAGTAAAGAGAAACTTTCCCCCACTTACGCGGCTCTTTACCAAACACTCGTCCCTAAAATGTAACCTTTTCCAATATGCCAAATTGGAATGCTGTTGTATCTTTTGAAAAGGGACACACTGTAGAAATTATTTCAATCAGATGCATAATTAATTCACGTTGCTTTATAAATCGTTTTTGTTCAGATGCGTATGGCAGAATCATGCGATGCACCTTTGATTATCAACATTCTCATTGTAATGTATCATTGTCAATGAGAATGTATTTTGCTTTGTTCCTGATTTTATTTTAAAATTTATTTTTTTAATCTTTCAGGTTATCTATCTTTTAACAGTAGTGCCATAGTACTTGGTGAGATCGAGTTAACCCAAAACACCATCAAATGGTTTTATTTTCTCTACCCTCTATACATATTAACAGTTTTAAATATTCCGATGTTCTCTGACCCCAGAAATGCCGCAGTCACGTATGTTTAAATCTGTTTCTTGCTGTTGCCATTACGTTTTTTCCTCATCGCTTCTTAATGCAGTGTTACTCTTACTGTTTTCGTGGTGTTTTTTCTCTTTAAAGAAATGCTGGATGAGAAAGACGTGTTCAGCATATCTAGGTTTAAAACGCACTTTTGACTAAAATCGAAACGATGTGAACAAAGGCCAGTGGCCTATGGACAGGGTACACTTCACAGAGAAAAAGTAATTATTAATGTAGACCAAGATCTATAATGAAGTAAATTTATATACTGTACGCTGAATAAAATGTATTTTACAAACCTTTTAATATATTTTCAAATAGAGACCGTTTAAGGATGTTAATCACGAATAATCAAGGACACAAGAGCCAAAAAGAGCCATATTGGCCAACTATGGTGAGGACACCCATCAGCCTATTAAACGCGTGTTACTATAATCACTACCGTGTTATTATTTAAACAGATATCTAATAATGGTTATTAAACTGATACAGGCTTTTTTTCTACTGAAAGCAAGCGTCATGGCTACATGCCACGTCTGTGCTAATGAATAACTTTTTAAATCTGAGTCTGACGCCGAGTTCAGAGGCATAGAAAATATTTAAAGATACCCCGCTTGAGTTTAAAAGACTCATCCCAGTAATTTACAGCTAATAGTTCTCATGCCTTTTGACACAACATGACGGGATAGTAGAACGCAGCTGATCAATGGCAGCAGTGATGAATTTCAAATTATTCTGCCACGATACTTTATTCATCGCCATGCAAATATATGGGTGGAAAACCTATTTTGAAATACAGTGCGTGAACACGTTTCCCAATCAGCTCTGAATAAGTGCATGTCTTCTGCATTGATTTCCTTTTGATAACCTTACCCTGACACGTAAAACTTTTCCTGTACATTTAATATTTGTTTTCTTGGTTAAACCTGAATCACTTACTTGAATTTGGGCCAAATTACAGCATGGTTTATATTCTGCTTTGAGTCAATCATATCTTGCCATTAAAAAGCCTAGTTACCTGTACAAAACTACTTTCATACAAAGCGATAGTTAAAAACCCACACTTCTGTCACATCATATTAAAATGAAATAAAAGCACAATTGGATTTTTGTGCTCACCTCAAAACTTTCATTTCATATTCTGTAAGTTCTGCTTGTAGGTTTTGCTTGAATCACTTCTTCAACCACCAAGGTTCAGTTGACCTGAATAACAAAAAATATACAGGTAGTAACACCTTTTTGTCATTATTAGGCATTTTAAGAAAAATGTTTTTTATTCACCTCAGTAAAATACTGAACAATAAAGTAAAATAATATTGCTAATAAAAAAAAATTATTATGGAGAATTTTTTGTAAATATTTTTTTAAAAGCCACAAATGTAATATTTATAGCTTGTAACACCATATCTAAATAGTCATGGAAAAACTTTGGTAATAACCTAAATATTGATTTTAGCATAGGTTTGTGTTTAGTGTCTTGGCTAAATTATCCAAATATTTTATCCAAAATAAAAACAAAGATACACTGTCTGGCATGCTCGGCAACAATCTTTTGCACGAGTATAAAAGCTAAAACAAAGCAAGGTTTTTGAAAAACATTCATTTATATTGGGTGCGTCCTTTTTGGAAGGCTGAAACACATTCTGTTATAACCATCATTAAATTACAACGCTAAATATAAAATTCAGTTTTAAAAAAACTTTACAAACATGCCTTAAGTGCAATTGTTCCCCACTGAAGAATGACTGACAATGTTCCTTTGTCTGCGGGTGAATAAAGAAAACGTTTCTTAAAGCCCCCAGCTTTTGGTTAATGACCTTTTGCATGCTTTGGAAACCAGGTGTGTGGCAGTGAACTGGAACTCCAGGGAGCTGACAGATTTGCACCAGCCCCCTTTTCAGCCACTAGCAGGTAACACACCACTTTGAGGGTTGGGATGGTCATACAATCATGTCATCTGCTTACACCCAAGTAGTCGCCACTGTACTAAGCTAAAAAGACAGACCCCTGAGCCCTTATCTGTTCAGGGCTCTGCCTTTATGCCATCGCACCATAGCCCCCCCCCCCCCCCACATTTCAGATACATCACTACATAATGTTTCATATGTTGGTGAAAGATGATGCAACGATAAAAACCATCTGGTATTTATGCTGGGGAAACTTCACTTGACTAGAGTTCACTTGCCACACAAAAAACACCTACCAACTGCAGTCTGAAACTCCTAAGTAGCTTGTTTCATACTATCAAGTGTGACATTCAGGTGTCACCTGTTTTTTGGGTGAAAATGGCAAGAAATGTCCAAATAACACTAACTGAGTTACCGTAAAGACGTGTGACAACAAAAAAAATTACATGCGCAATTACTCAAGATACTTCGGCATAAATCTGTGAATCGAACATGTTGCACTGTCACCCTTCCTGTCAGACCACGCATTCTGAAGGTTCCATGGTAATAACAAACATACTTATGGGCTGGCTAACCAGATGAGAATGAGCCACTAGGCCCTGACCGTTACAGTGGAAGACTGTTATAAATGAAACCACAGCATTACACCCACTTAAAAACAGGGCTGAATGCCTAGCGAAGAGAATGACTTCGGAAAAAAGTACAGTACTATTAAGCAGACTACTTAAGGCTTTTCTTTAATAAAAAACACATTGCCGTTTTTGGCTGATGAAACTCCAGAAGGGAAAAAAACATTTTCCAGTTAAAAACCTCATCAGATTTCTGACACTGCTTGGACTACTTAACAATGGGAAATGACTTCATTAGTTTAAATGAACCTTCATTTTCCCTGAAAATTAGGGGTTTGCTCAAACAATGCAATGAACATACATCCAAAACAACTAATGTCAAATAACTGCGTGTTTTACAGTCTGTTTCATCGTTGCTGTAACTGGTCCAATTAAAATTCATTAGACGTATCCTGGTCAAACTGTAATGTACCAGATTGTAAAATGGGCACAATGCTGTGGAGACTAAATTTCATGAACATGACACAGCAGATTATTATTGCCAATGCCATGGCCCGCCCATTTTAACAAACTGTCAATTGTAATGTATGAACTGTCTTTCAAGGCACCTTGTGACTAACCGAGATCTGCAGTATGAAAAAATGGGCTCTCACAACAGTTTGGTTGTCCTTGACTTCATCTGGAGATGTTTCCACCAAAGGTTATAAATGGTGTATAAGCAATTAATGAGTCCAATCATATTTACCAGTTGATTGAAAGAAAAGCTAAAATTGTATCCAGCTTGGCCAAATGCTCTAATTTCCGATATGATTTTTTTCAAGCATCACAAACACAATAATCATCTATAACTGAGACATATAAACATACAACAGCTCAAGTATCTCGCCAATCCAATAATTACTTGTACCATCAGCATAACATTGTATATTTTATACAGACAATATACAGAAGGGGAAGCGCACATTAATTAGCCACATTTAATTTACATTTTTTTGTTTGTTTTTTGCAGGAAGGCATAGAAAGCGATGTCACCCTTGGTTGGGAGTATTGAACTGCCTTGGTGTTTTTTTTTTCTCAAGCAAAATGAGCTGAAGAGACAAGGCTATGCAATTGTACAATGGTAATTGATGTCTGGACCATTATTTGTACCATGGGTCATACAATGAACTCTTACAAGACTTCAACAATGCAGATCTTAACAACTCTGAACTAGATCAAGGCTGTGACTATGCCTTTGCAGTGAAATACCTAACAATTTTTGATGAAAAACAGTTCATCATTTGTTGAATATGACATATTTAATAAAGAGACAGAAAAAAATGCGACCCAAGGCCTTTGCAGTCCAAGAGAAGACGTGCTTTTTCATTAACCCCTTCTCTTTGTATTTCAATGCAATTCAATTAAAAAGACTGATATAACTATGGAATTCTGTAGGAATCTGTATGAGAGATATACGAACAAGTGAAACAGAATGGCTTCTAAGAATTAAATCACTTTTTACTGATAAACTTTGTAGTCGTATGAATTTATTTTTATTTACATGCTATAGACACCCGGACATCAAAGTTTATCGTTTCATTTTTTCACGATTTTTGAATACTGTTACCACATTACAATTTACTAATCTATGAAAATATTGTCAGAGAGCGAAAACGTAAAGAAAGGCAACAACTTACATGCCTTTGAACCGTAGTATTCTTTTTCGCATTTTAATGGCGAAATATTTTATTCCTAAAAAAAAGTACACATTTCATAATCCAAACTTTACGGGTGTTTTAACAATTATCCACGTGTCAATAAAACGTAAAAAGTTCTCGGGTAAAGTTGCGTACCGGCGCTGCGATGCCTTTGGAGCGGCGCCTCCGGCGTGAG